TTAAAAGGACAGTCCACTCCTGATAAGTGCACTTCGGATATGTGCAAACACCTGTGCAATACAGTTTTCAAGTCCCAATTCAATAATATGTTATATTATTAATGCTTATAACCGCATGATCTGGTTTAGTTCACTCTGTCACTCCAGTCCCAAGCCATTATATTTACTGTATCAGGAGTAGACTGAACTGTTCCATTTCCACAGCAGTAAGCTAAATTATTTTTCACATTCATCTGCATCTCACTTCTATGAAACTGCTCAAAATATAGAAAGTTGACTGACCCTCCCTCATTAATCCTAGCTGTTCCCCGTGAGAAAGTTATTTGCAACATGCTGTGTTTGTACTGCATACTGCACAGTTAAAAGAGCATGCACCCTGGAGTCCTCATCAGATAATGGCTGAAATGTAAGTTGATAGGGAACACATTCTTCTTTTTAATTTCTCTGTCTACAGAGTACATCCACTAACAGGGGAACAATGTGAACCAGCATCAGGATACACATTTGGTCGAATTAGTCTTTGATCTTTGCCTGGTGCGGTGAATTACTTTAAGCGACTCCAATGGCAGCCTTCCCTATATTTATGTTAAATTCGAGGGGAATCTTGGGATACCAATTCCAGACTGATATACTGTGCAACAACGTGTAACATGTTGTATCCAACATGAATGGATCTGCAGTATAGCACATACAGTACCAGTCAAATGTTTGGACACACCCACTCATTCAAGGGTTTTTCTTTGTTTTTACTATTTTCTACATTGTAGAATAATAGTGAAGACATCAAAATTATGAAATAACACAAATGGAATCATGCAGTAACCAAAAAGTGATAAAAAAATCAAAATCTACACTGCTCAAAAAAATAAAGGGAACACTTAAACAACACAATGTAACTCCAAGTCAATCACACTTCTGTGAAATCAAACTGTCCACTTAGGAAGCAACACTGATTGACAATAAATTTCACATGCTGTTGTGCAAATGGCATAGACAACAGGTGGAAATTATAGGCAATTAGCAAGACACCCCCAATAAAGGACTGGTTTTGCAGGTGGTGACCACAGACCACTTCTCAGTTCCTATGCTTCCTGGCTGATGTTTTGGTCACTGTTGAATGCTGGCGGTGCTTTCACTCTAGTGGTAGCATGAGACGGAGTCTACAACCCACACAAGTGGCTCAGGTAGTGCAGCTCATCCAGGATGGGACATCAATGCGAGCTGTGGCAAGAAGGTTTGCTCTGTCTGTCAGCGTAGTGTCCAGAGCATGGAGGCGCTACCAGGAGACAGGCCAGTACATCAGGAGACGTGGAGGAGGCCGTAGGAGGGCAACAACCCAGCAGCAGGACTGCTACCTCCACCTTTGTGCAAGGAGGAGCAGGAGGAGCACTGCCAGAGCCCTGCAAAATGACCTCCAGCAGGCCACAAATGTGCATGTGTCTGCTCAAACGGTCACAAACAGACTCCATGAGGGTGGTATGAGGGCCCGACGTCCACAGGTGGGGGTTGTGCTTACAGCCCAATTTGCCAGAGAACACCAAGATTGGCAAATTCGCCACTGGCGCCCTGTGCTCTTCACAGATGAAAGCAGGTTCACACTGAGCACATGTGTCAGACGTGACAGAGTCTGGAGACGCCGTGGAGAACGTTCTGCTGCCTGCAACATCCTCCAGCATGACCGGTTTGGCGGTGGGTCAGTCATTGTGTGGGGTGGCATTTCTTTGGGGGGCCGCACAGCCCTCCATGTGCTCGCCAGAGGTAGCCTGACTGCCATTAGGTACCGAGATGAGATCCTCAGACCCCTTGTGAGACCATATGCTGGTGCGGTTGGCCCTGGGTTCCTCCTAATGCAAGACAATGCTAGACATGTGGCTGGAGTGTGTCAGCAGTTCCTGCAAGAGGAAGGCATTGATGCTATGGACTGGCCCGCCCGTTCCCCAGACCTGAATCCAATTGAGCACATCTGGGACATCATGTCTCGCTCCATCCACCAACGCCATGTTGCACCACAGACTGTCCAGGAGTTGGCGGATGCTTTAGTCCAGGTCTGGGAGGAGATCCCTCAGGAGACCAGCCGCCACCTCATCAGGAGCATGCCCAGGCGTTGTAGGGAGGTCACACAGGCACGTGGAGGCCACACACACTACTGAGCCTCATTTTGACTTGTTTTAAGGACATTACATCAAAGTTGGATCAGCCTGTAGTGTGGTTTTCCACTTTAATTTTGAGGGTGACTCCAAATCCAGACCTCCATGGGTTGATAAATTTGATTTCCATTGATAATTTTTGTGTGATTTTGTTGTCAGCACATTCAACTATGTAAAGAAAAAAGTATTTAATAAGATTATTTCATTCATTCAGGGTGAATCAGGCCTTCATGGTCGAATTCCTGAAAAGAAACCACTACTAAAGGACACCAATAAGAAGAAGAGACCTGCTTGGGCCAAGAAACATGAGCAATGGACATTAGACCGGTGGAAATGAGTCCAAATTGGCGATTTTTGGTTCCAACCACCGTGTGTTTGTGAGACGCGGTGTGGGTGAATAGAAGATGTCCGCATGTGTATTTCCTACCGTAAAGCATGGAGGAGGAGGTGTTATGGTGTGGGGGTGCTTTACTGGTGACACTGATTTATTTAGAATTCAAGGCACACTTAACCAGCATGGCTACCACAGCATTCTGCAGCGATACGCCATCCCATGTGGTTTGGGCTTATTGGGACTATCATTTGTTTTTCAACAGGACAACGACCCAACACACCTCCAGGCTGTGTAAGGGCTATTTTACCAAGAAGGAGAGTGATGGAGTGCTGCATCAGATGACCTGGCCTCCACAATCCCCCGACCTCAACCCAATTGAGATGGTTTGGGATGAGTCGGACCGCAGAGTGAAGGAAAAGCAGCCAACAAGTGCTCAGCATATGTGGGAACTCCTTCAATATTGTTGGAAAAGCATTCCAGGTGAAGCTGGTTCAGAGAATGCCAATAGTGTGCAAAGCTGTCATCAAGGCAAAGGGTGGCTATTTGAAGAATCTCAAATATAAAATATATTTTGATTTGTTTAACACTTTTTTGTTTACTACATGATTCCATATGTGTTATTTCATAGTTTTGATGTCTTCACTATTATTCTACAGTGTAAAAAAAAAATTAAAATAAAGAAAAACCCTTGAATGAGTAAGTGTGTCCAAACTTTTGACTGGTAGTGTAGGGGCATCCTGAAAATTGTAAGGGTTGGTGTGAGGTGTGACCCAGGTGCGATGCAGGTTAGACAGTAGGCAGAGATGGTGAAACAAAGAACTTTACTGATGGTCCCAAAGCCAGGATACAAAACAACTGACTTTACACGAAAAAGAAAGGTGGAGCAAATAAGACTCCAAAAAACAGGCTGACAGCCAAACATACGAAATACAAACTGTGACTGAAATAATAAATAAACAGTGAGAACACTTCTCACGTACCTTGTCCATACGTCCCGCCATCAGACACTGATTAGTATTGCTTGGCATAGTGAAACTAGCAGAGAAAACTGAGCAAGGGAACACAGGGAAGTGAGGGCATAAATACACAGGTGAATCAGATAGACACAGGTGACACCAATAGGAAGATGATCAGTCCTGACTGTGAGTGAGGAGGTGCCTAAGGTTGTCGGAGGATGACACCTAGGGGGTCGCTCCGGAACTGCGACCCACTCCTGCAACAGAAAATGTTTTGTATTCAAATGAGAAACACAGAAACTGTCATACAGAAAGAAGCCTGCTGTAGGTCATTGACTCATTGTATTACCTTTGCATCAAAGCTCTGTCTGAAGGACTGTATTAGGAGGAAATAATGAGCTTTTGAAAAAGATGCCCCACTTTCCTCCAGATCTTCTGTATTTAATCAATGCAATCACATCACCCAAGCTCAAGTCCTAGCTTAGCATCATTACTTCTCAAACTGCTAATCCTATGCTGTTTTCCCCACCACAGAGGGCAATTACTTCCCTTAGATCAAGAGTCCTCTCCGCAGAACATGCAGAAGCTCTAAATCATTACCCTCTTTATGAGAGCATAGCCCCGAGCTTCCTAGGAAGCTGAATTCAACCTGTATTCATGGTTTGATAAATGTGCACTGTGGTTGGGCTCCTCGGTGTAAACAATATAGTAAGCCATTTGACTCTGCAGATGGGCCTGTATTCATAAGCTCAGAAGTGAGGGGGGAGTATAATGGGCGGCTGTATTTACAGTAAAAAGAAGCTCCAGAAATGGCACCCACACAGAGATTATTGGGCTTTTTAGGATGAATCTTCTTGGCAAATCAAATTGATTATTTTACTTGTGAAATACTAAGGATGAAGTTATGGATTCTGCGTTTCATACACTGGTAAGAAATAATCATGCAAATGTCCTAAAGGAGAAACTATTTAAGTCAACATTTCTTATATGATCAAGCCATTGATGTTAACAGGACATGTTCATGTATGCATTTCCCCTCTCTCTGTTTGATATTTAGTTCTTGTTGCTATAACATTAACTTTCAGGAGCACATTACCATGACACACCTGTGATACCTACCAGAGGTAGATATGCGTGGAGGTAAAGCATCCACCCTGTAAATAAACACATGCTTATCATTTGAAAGCAGCATGTGAAATCCTGCTGACATTAACCATACACCATTGGTCCCAGTCATGCACACTTAACAATTTTTCAAAATAAATTAAATGAATCTGAATAGATAAGACCCATTTTGCTTCTCAAATGTTGAACAGAGGCAACATGCATAGCACTGTATCTGACCTTCACAGTGAGGAAACAGAAACAGTCTTCCTTGAAAACCCACATTGTGAAACATTGTTAACATAGTCCGATTACCCCCCCTAAAAACATACATTTGCATAGTGCAGGATGAACAATACCATTCTCAGAAGATTCTCGGTTAAATGAATTCTAGCTTTGAAAACTTGATTAATCTTTCTCCAACAGGTGCCCATTGCTGTGTAGGTTCCTGTGCGCAGGAGCTTGGTGAGCAGAACAGCAGCCATGCCGCCTGCCATGGGAGGACCCCAGGGGTACACCCCTCCAGAGGGGGGCTGGGGCTGGGCGGTGGTGGTGGGAGCCTTCATCTCTATTGGCTTCTCCTACGCCTTCCCCAAGTCCATCACCGTCTTCTTCAAGGAGATCGAGGTCATTTTCGACTGCACCAGCAGCCAGGTGTCATGGATCTCCTCCATCATGCTGGCGGTGATGTACGCCGGAGGTGAGCTGGAGGATAGATTAGGGCTAGCCTCGTAATTACCAGACTGATGTCCGTGCAGCGAACATTCATGTAAGATGGCGGCTTGCGAGGCTAGAATAGTGCACCACTACCGGAAATGTACATAATAATAACATATTTTAGTGTAACACCAATTAAATTGTAACACGTTACAAATGTACTCCAACTGTATTTGCTTTCACAAACAACAAAGCTTGTATGGAGTGCATTTTTGTGGTTCATAATAATATAATAATAATATGCCATTTAGCAGACACTTTTATCCAAAGCGACTTACAGTCATGCGTGCATACATTATTTTTTTTTGTGTATGGGTGGTCCCGGGAATCGGACCCACTACCTTGGCGTTACAAGCGCCGTGCTCTACCAGCTGAGCTACAGAGGACCACAAACGCATTACAAATGTATTGGAAACGGGTTAACAAGTGATTTCACAATTTTGTGTGAAGTTTCCGGTAGGGAGTCAGAGTGATGAGATAGTGTACCAGAAATTAGCTGTACGATGCAGAGTGAATAGGGGAGCATTGTGTAACAGACATTGGTTTAAAAAGTGTTTGTTGGCCTCCCGAGTGGCGCAGCGGTCTAAGGCACTGCATCACAGTGACTGAGGTGTCCCTACAGCCCCGGGTTCGATCCCAGGCTGTGTCACAGCCGGCTGTGAACGGGAGACCCATGAGGTGGCACACAATTGGCCCAGTGTCATCCAGGTTAGGGGAGGGTTTGGCTGGATGGGATTTCCTTGTCCCATCGTGCTCTAGTGACTCCTTGTGGTGGGCTGGGTGCCTGCAAGCTGACTTTGGTCACCAGCTGGATGGTGTTTCCTCCGATACATTGGTGCGGCTGGCTTCCGGGTTAAGCGAGCGGTGTGTCAAGAAGTCGTGTTTTGGAGGACGCATGGCTCTTGACCTTCGCCTCTCCCGAGTCCGTACGGAAGTTGCAGCGATGGGACAAGACTGTAACTACCAATTGGGTAAAAAAAAGTATATATTTGTTTTCTTTCAAATACTTTGAGCGTTTGATTGCACTTATAGGTTTGGATCAAGGGACCGTTCCATTGGTTCCATTGAGACCAGACAAGCTAAAGTATTAATAGAAAACAAATACTACTTGAACCCAGACCATAGCTTGGTAATCCCCTGAAGTGAATGGTCATGATCCTTTTTAAGTACCACTTAAACCTTATAGCTAAATCATTAAGCATGTGTCCCAAAACTTGTCCCACCATATCCTCCTACAGTTGCTGATTTAAGCTGATCTGTGAGACTTCGGAAACGTCAACTTGGCTTTCTTTTAGATGTTTTATTTGATGCAAAAATTAAACGTAATGATAGCTAAGACGACAAATAAGACAATATATACAATCATCCTTTTTTAAACAGATACTGTAAATGCACCTTTTAACATGCATGGATCTGGATGCCTCTGTTAGGGATCCGTATTCTCAATGTACCTTTCAGTGAGAATGCATACACTCTTTATTTTGCTCAGTGGACTGTTTATGCACTTCCTATTCTTCAGTCACAAACAGCTCCAATAGTTTCCCACCCATTGACTATGTTGAGTAAGGTCACCGGGCACCAGATCAAGATTAAGTGTATTGTCCCAAAGGAGATGCTGATGTCTGAATCAAACCACTGTCATTGAAATTAAACAAATGGGGCCTCTAGAATGCTTTTACTCTTCCATTGAAGCATTGTTCTTAACAGTGCAACAGTATCTGTCTCTACAGTCCGTGGATGGGGTTCCTCTCTTCCCAGTGTGCTTGTTAATGCTCTGATCAGATGAATGTTGTCCCAGGTGTCTTCTGAGGCTGAGGAGATGAAATGGCTTACGTGAGAGTGGCAGGTGAGGCAGACTGTGTCAGCTGGTCTGGCTTCCTGTACCGACGGGGACTGGGTTGAATCAAATGCTATGTGTCAGACAGGTCAGACAGGTCTTCCCAGTGGAGCGTCTTTTCATCTGCATGACATTTAACACGAACAGACAGAACAGTAATCAGAGGGACTCTTCTTCTCAGACTCCTTGTCCCACAAGAAGAGGTCTGAGGCCGGATAGTGAATGGACTCATTTTCTCTCTAGGAGGGGAGATAAACTGAATGAACAAATCCCCGGGGTATGATGCTGTTTTAGAAAATGTCGTCTTTTTTTTCCATATTGATGTTGTCCTGTAAACATTGTTATTAGCTGCACACTTCTACAGCAGCATTTTTAGCTGGCTTAGTAGTGGTGCCTATTTACAGTGGGGAAAAAAAGTATTTAGTCAGCCACCAATTGTGCAAGTTCTCCCACTTAAAAAGATGAGAGAGGCCTGTAATTTTCATCATAGGTACACGTCAACTATGACAGACAAATTGAGAAAAAAAATCCAGAAAATCACATTATGGGATTTTTTTTAAATTTATTTGCAAATTATGGTGGAAAATAAGTATTTGGTCACCTACAAACAAGCAAGATTTCTGGCTCTCACAGACCTGTAACTTCTTCTTTAAGAGGCTCCTCTGTCCTCCACTCGTTACCTGTATTAATGGCACCTGTTTAAACTTGTTATCAGTATAAAAGACACCTGTCCACAACCTCAAACAGTCACACTCCAAACTCCACTATGGCCAAGACCAAAGAGCTGTCAAAGGACACCAGAAACAAAATTTTAGACCTGCACCAGGCTGGGAAGACTGAATCTGCAATAGGTAAGCAGCTTGGTTTGAAGAAATCAACTGTGGGAGCAATTATTAGGAAATGGAAGACATACAAGACCACTGATAATCTCCCTCGATCTGGGGCTCCACGCAAGATCTCACCCCATGTGGTCAAAATGATCACAAGAACGGTGAGCAAAAATCCCAGAACCACACGGGGGGACCTAGTGAATGACCTGCAGAGAGCTGGGACCAAAGTAACAAAGCCTACCATCAGTAACACACTACGCCGCCAGGGACTCAAATGCTGCAGTGCCAGACGTGTCCCCCTGCTTAAGCCAGTACATGTCCAGGCCCGTCTGAAGTTTGCTAGAGTGCATTTGGATGATCCAGAAGAGGATTGGGAGAATGTCATATGGTCAGATGAAACCAATATAGAACTTTTTGGTAAAAACTCAACTCGTCGTGTTTGGAGGACAAAGAATGCTGAGTTGCATCCAAAGAACACCATACCTACTGTGAAGCATGGGGGTGGAAACATCATGCTTTGGGGCTGTTTTTCTGCAAAGGGACCAGGATGACTGATCCGTGTAAAGGAAAGAATGAATGGGGCCATGTATCGTGAGATTTTGAGTGAAAACCTCCTTCCATCAGCAAGGGCATTGAAGATGAAACGTGGCTGGGTCTTTCAGCATGACAATGATCCCAAACACACCGCCCGGGCAACGAAGGAGTGGCTTCGTAAGAAGCATTTCAAGGTCCTGGAGTGGCCTAGCCAGTCTCCAGATCTCAACCCCATAGAAAATCTTTGGAGGGAGTTGAAAGTCTGTGTTGCCCAGCGACAGCCCCAAAACATCACTGCTCTAGAGGAGATCTGCATGGAGGAATGGGCCAAAATACCAGCAACAGTGTGTGAAAACCTTGTGAAGACTTATAGAAAACGTTTGACCTGTGTCATTGCCAACAAAGGGTATATAACAAAGTATTGAGAAACTTTTGTTATTGACCAAATACTTATTTTCCACCATAATTTGCAAATTAATTCATAAAAAATCCTACAATGTGATTTTCTGGATTTTTTTTCCTCATTTTGTCTGTCATAGTTGACGTGTACCTATGATGAAAATTACAGGCCTCTCTCATCTTTTTAAGTGGGAGAACTTGCACAATTGGTGGCTGACTAAATACTTTTTTTCCCCACTGTACAATGTGTAAGAAAAACTACTGAACGAGTAATTACCAAAACACTGAACTCCTGAGAGGATTAGTGCTGATATGTTTCATGTGTCGTACCATGTACTGTATACAGTACAGAAGGTCAAGCTTCAGCAATAGCAGCACTTTATGAATAACTCTTTAACGAGTTCTGAACCATATGCCTATTTCAGTATAGAGGGGACCAGCACCATGTGGACGTACGAGTGGCGCAGTGGTCTAAGGCACTGCATCGCAGTGCTAGCTGTGCCACTAGTTATCCTGGTTTGAATCCAGGCTCTGTCGTAGCCGGCCACGACCGGGAGACCCATGGGGCGGTGCACAATTGGCCTAGGGTAGGGGAGGGAATGGCCAGCAGGGATGTAGCTCAGTTGGTAGAGCATGGCGTTTGCAACGCCAGGGTTGTGGGTTCGATTCCCACAGGGGGCCAGTATGAAAAAATAAAAAAATTATGAATGCACTCACTAACTGTAAGTTGCTCTGGATAAGAGCGTCTGCTAAATGACTAAAATGTAAATGTATGGTGTGGACCATATGTATTTACATTTAGCAGACGCTCTTATCCAGAGCGACTTACAGTTAGTGAGTGCATACATTTTCATACTGGAGTACATAGCTGCCACGGCTGCCCCCCACCAGACCGGTGAATCAATGCTATTTATTGTTCAGCAGTCCATTCCCTCAAAAGGTAGCACTTAGCTCAGGCGCACATTCAGGACCTGCATGGGCGAAAGCCAGGTCATTGGTTCATGCAGTAACATTGTCTCAGACGGTTCCCAGTAGTTCTCAGTTCTCCCACTCTAAGTGTGTTGCCTGTTAGTTGGGCTCTAGACACATGACTGCCTGGCTGGCTGCGCATGATCAGGAGCACAAGACTGTGTGGGGGCTGACCTCTGACCTTTCTACAGAACCAGAACACACAGGCCCTGTCAGACTCAGACCCTAATGATGTCTATGACCCAATCCTGGCAGGCCTTAAAACAGGGGTTACAGCCAACAGTGCACAGCATACACTGTGTTCTTCTAGATTGTAGCTCAAGTAATCAATGAGTAATTGAATCAAATGGCTTTAGAAAGCCCTTTTTTACATCAACAGCTGTCGCAAAGTAAACAACAGGAACCTGGCCTAGACCCCCAAAGAGCAAGCAGCAGTACAGTGGCAATCCGTACTCCATTTTGCATGTAGGCCTACTGGTGCTACAGAAAATGGGTTGTGTTGCTTGGCTTATTCAACTGTAAGTTGCCATTATTTAGTGTTTGTATGTCATCCATGAACGCTATGAAAAAATCATGTTATGGAAAATGTATACATTGACTAAATAATGGGACTTAATCCTCTTGTCTTGACCTCTCTTTCATTTCTAACCTATCCTTCTCAATGTCTTACATTGTCAGGATTGGTCACAGGCTATCTCCTCAGACATTACTCTCCCTCACCAGCTCATCTTCAGAGAGGGAGGGGACAGGCTCTTTGTTGGTGTTTAGCCTCGCCTGTATTAGAATCTAAAAAGCCTTTGTCGTGTTCCGAGCTGGCAAATTAGTCTGGACAACCTCTAAACAAAAACTGTCACATTCCATTTAGGTTCCTTCCGTGGTGCCGGGATTTGGCAGGGAGGCTGAAGCGTCTTCCACATGGATCTTCGATCTTCGCTCCCATTTAGGCCTTGTTGGTATAAGCCAGACAGAGGGTGGGCATGCAGCCAGCAGAACTCTGCATGCCATCTAGGCATATATGTTAACAAATTGAAGTGAGCTAGCTGTTGTTAGGCTCATTTTATGGCCCATATTTACCTTGAATTTGTGTTGCCGAACCCTCTGAGATTTAGCCCAACCTAAATGGAAGGAATATGTTGCAGTCTAAGACTATAACAAAGTGGAGCTATTGTGAATGTAGCCTCCAAATCTTCCAGTAGGGAAGATGATAGTGTATGTAGTAGCAGGCTGTCGGCCATCATTGATTAGAAAAACTAAGAGTAGGCTATGTTGATCAAGTTATATCAGTAGACAAACTGTCTATTTTGACATCAGTAGGAGGCGGAGTGGGACAAAGGTAGTGTTCCTCTTAATGTGATGCTCTCATCTTTCAAAATCAAGGGATATTATTTACTATTACATGGGAACTGTGGTAGATTACCCATAGGAAATGAGTCTGACTAAGTGTAACCTGCTCTACTGTTCTTAAGCTCTGCTAAGTATTTTGCTAGGAGACAGTAGAGTACTTTAAATGTATTTTTTCTATACTCAACCTCCCTAGCACACACACACATAAAATCCTGCAGAGGAGAATGAAGCAGGGTTTTACAGTAGCCTAGTTAGAAATGCTCTTTAGCGACAGAGCCCTCTTCTTTTGTCATTCTCTGCACATAACGTTAGGAATACACAAACTGTAGCCACACCTCACAATATCTTGTTTCATCGCGATTGTCTTCTTGTTTTCTGTGAGATTGCATTGCCAACTGTGGCTAGACCAGAGAAATTGCTGCAGTGCAGCAGTGAGACAAATCATTGCAGAAGTTGTGTGGAAGCTCCCCTGTAGCTCAGTTGGTAGAGCATGGCGCTTGCAACGCCAGGGTTGTGGGTTCGTTTCCCACAGGGGGCCAGTATGAAAATGTATGCACTCACTAACTGTAAGTCGCTCTGGATAAGAGCGTCTGCTAAATGACTGAAATGTAAATAAATGTAAAGCTCCGGCTGCACCAGTGTTTCTCAGAGCTGGGGCTTTAGGGCCCTCTAGTGGTAAAATATAACATTTCTCAAAAATGGTAGGCTTTTCTTATGGTAGTCAACTTCGCTTTTTCACCTATTAAAGATTTTCAATCATGTTAATCAAGAAAATTAATTCAAGATGTGAATTTGCAATCCTCTAAAGTTTGACTAATGAGATTTCGATAGTCATTATGGTATAGTCAGTTATGCTTGGGCATATTTGCCTAAGGTGCATTTTCCCACCGTATGAGCCATCTTGACTGTTTGCTTTGTATTTGTCACCTCTCAGGTCCTATCAGCAGTATCCTGGTTAATAAGTATGGAAGTCGTCCCGTCATGATGTGTGGAGGATTCCTGTCTGGCTGTGGACTGATTGCTGCCTCCTTCTGCAACTCAGTGGAAGGACTTTACTTCTGTGTGGGAGTGGTCGGAGGTAGGCCTCTTTCATGGTTAGTGCTATCTGAGATCCTATATGTTCATTAGTTCACTGTTCAATAGTTGCTGCTGTTGAGGAAATGTATCGCCCTCTGGGGACCTCTTTAGGAACTCTATCATCACTTTTTAGTATCCTGAATTTCTTTTCGGTCTGGTTTCATGTGTTATGTATAAGGAATAACTAGGCAGTCTGATGTTGGACTGAATTAATGTCTTTAATATATTTCAACAGGTTTGGGACTGGCATTCAATCTGAACCCAGCCCTTACTATGATTGGGAAGTACTTCTACCATAAGCGGCCCATCGCCAATGGAATCGCCATGGCGGGCAGCCCAGTTTTCCTATCCACCTTGGCCCCTCTCAACAGCTGGTTCTTTGACCAGTTTGGCTGGAGGGGCAGCTTCCTGATCCTGGGAGGCCTGCTGTTCAACTGCTGCGTCGCTGGTTCTCTCATGAGACCCATCGGACCAAAACCACAGCCTGCCGTAAAAAGTGAAGACGCTGCCAAAGAGAGTACGACGTGTGGGCAGAAGTGCAACAGTTTTATCGACCTCTCACTGTTCAAACACCGGGGCTTCGTGCTCTACCTCATGGGTAACGTAATTATGTTCTTTGGTCTCTTCTCCCCACTAGTGTTCCTTAGTAACTTTGCCAAGAGCAGGGACATCCCCAAAGAGAAGGCAGCCTTCCTGCTGTCTGTCCTGGCCTTTGTGGACATGGTGGCCCGGCCCTCTATGGGCATTGTGGCCAATACAAAGTGGATACGACCCAGGGTGCAGTACTTCTTTGCCTGCTCTGTGCTGTTGAACGGTGTGTGCCACGTCCTGGCGCCTATCTCCGTGGACTACACAGGCTTCGTTATCTACGCCATCTTCTTTGGCTTTGCCTTTGGCTGGCTGAGTGCGGTGCTGTTTGAGACGCTCATGGACCTGGTGGGAACCCAGCGATTCTCCAGTGCAGTGGGACTGGTCACCATCGTGGAGTGTGGGCCGGTCTTGTTAGGTCCCCCTGTGTTAGGTGAGTGCACACTTCACATGTATTTGTAGTTTACTTATGCTCCTTGTTTCTATATAAAGATGTTCAATCATCTAACTGGTTTATTTTTATGAAAAGTAAAGACTGTTAACTTATGATACAAGTTAGAATTAATCTTTGTTTCGTCACAGGGAAATTCAAAGACATCTACAATGACTACCAATACACCTACCAGAGCTGTGGGGTGATCCTTATCATTGCCAGTGTGTTCCTGTTTGTGGGAATGGGTCTCAACTACCGGTTGTTGGACAAAGAGAAAAAGGAGGAGGAAAGGAAGGCTAAACTGGAGGGAAAAGAAGAAGAGTCCAACAAGGACAGAGTGAGAGCAATTGACGAGACAAAAACTTCAGAAGACACAGTTTAACTTTTCTTGACATCAAATACACACATTCACATGGTATCTCAATAAAGTCAATGAGATAATGTAGACAACAAATTAATTTGGTTCAAGTCCTTGGCAGACAGCAGTGTTCATGTAAACATATTTCTTCACCATTTCCACTTCTGTCATTGAATAATGTATTATTAGCATAATATGACTGGAGCAAGATACACTTATGTATGATAGAAACATGCAACTTTTTACTGAAATGTGCAGCCGCCCTGCGAAAACATACTCTATTTTACGAATCTGGAGTCCAGATAGTACATTTTCTGCATAAGTGTTGTGATATATTTTAGAATATTATAATATGCAGGTAATTTCTATGTTCATACTGTATTTGGAATTTCAGAAATCCACTTCAAATAACTGCAATGTACAGTTTTATTCTGTGAAAGCACTTAATGGATATACTAGTACTTTTAGAAGGTTTAATGAATCACTGTAACATTTTGTTCACACTGTCATGATGAATGGTAGGTTTCTTTTCTTTCTGAAAGCGTTGTTAAATGAATAACGTGTAGTCTCCTGATATTCACAATGTTCTTCAATACATCTTCACAACAATTATATTCCCATGTTGACTGCACAGCTAAAAGCTAGCCAGACCGATAATAACACTAAAGATAATACAGTATGAATATATGCAGAAACTGCTTCTCCAATAGAAATTTGGTTTTAGAACTGGGGGGGGGGGGGGGAATAAGTATATATATATATATTTTTTAATCCAGTCGGATAAACACTCCAAACAGCCACTCGACCGCTAGGAGGCGTACGCATGGTCCTAAAGCACATAGTTTTGTATCACATTCCAATGATAAAACTGGGGGAGACAAAAATACAATTTCAGAATGTGGGGGGGGGGGGGGGGGGCATGTCCCCTCTTCCCCGGTGAAAGTTGTGGCCATGGCTATATCGTTAAAATTCATGAAAACAAAAATTGTTTTTTCTGGTATTAATTTAAGTTTAGGCATAAAGTTAGGAGTTTGGTTAAGGTTTGGGTTAAGGTTAAGTTTAAAATCAGATTTTAAAAAGAGAAATTGCAGAAATAGGCAGGGTTTAGATGTCAAAATGTTGCCATTAGCTAACTAAACTCATGCGTAGAAACACATAATCGGGTCTAACGGTCGTCTCGCGCCGAACTGCGCATGTGCAGGCTGTAAAATCAATGCCACTAAATCGATATAAAGTAGTTTTTTACAAAAAAAGATGTACGTGTCAGTTTGTCACGTTCACGAGGTTGGAATAATAACATGTTCAACTACTTTAGACATTGGCTTGAATCTAGGTTGTGCCTTTAGATTTCGAGAAAATTAACAGGATCTTTCACTTCTACCACTGACTTCTCATTCCTGGCCTGGTCATCTTGGTCTGTTTCGCAAGCGTTCCCAGAAGTCTCCCGATGTTGCGCCTCTGGGTTTAGAAACTCTTGGTGCTTTCAAGACAACTGGGAACTCCCCCCCCCCCCCCCCCCCCCCCCCCCCAAATTTTTTATTTTTTAAGTTTGAGCTCTAATAAGATGTTTCTAACTTGGAATTCCGAGTTGGACGAACATTCAAAACAATTTTTCCCAGTCAGAGCTCTTTTTTTCCCCAGTTCCCAGTTGTCTTGAATGCACTGAAGTCGGAGATTTCCAACTTCCCAGCTGTTTTGAACGCGGTATCTGTGACAACACCCAAAGACAGTACAACACTGTTGAACTGAGAAGGGTGCAATTCGGGGCGATCCTGCATGTGGGCATTCCTGCATCTGCAGGAACCCCTCTTTATAATTCAAATTGTCTATTTTTAAGCTAGGACTCCGGTCTGCAGGCAGGAGGCGGGGCACTCCAGTACAGTAGGTGGCGGTAATGCATGCAGAAGAGGCAGGGGCGAAAACGGCAACTAGCTAGCTAGCTAGCAATGTTAGACAGTGTCCTTCGCCCCCCGCCTGTTGGGCATTCGTTTCCCGCTGTTCTGTTAACGAGGTCGACGGCAGTTGTTCGGCAGGCGTTTATGAAACTGGGTAATAGCTAACTAGTTAGCAAGCTAGAACTATGTAGGCGGGATAGGTAGCTAGCTTGCATACCGGTGGACAGTGTACTTTGCCCCCGCCTACCGGGCACTGTTTTCCTGAAGTTCTGTTAACGACAGCGAGGGCAGGTTTTCGGCAGGCGTTTAGGACACTGGGTGCTAGCTAGTTAGCTAGCTAGGATTCCAGTACACAGCAGCTAGGAATAGCTAGGACACCAGTAGACAGTGTCCTTTGCCCTCACCTGTCCGGCACTGTTTTCCTGCAGTTAACGACAGCAAGGGCAGATGTTCAACAAGCGGCAGCGAAGGACACTGTGTGCTAATTTCTTAGCTTACTAGCTAGGACTCCGGAACACAGCTGGCGGTGGCGACACCGGTAGACAGTGTCCTTCGTTCGATGCAGGAACCAATGAGATGCTCGGGGGGGGGGGGGGGGGGCGTTCCTGCGGATGCTTGGAACTTCCTGTTCCTACATTTCCTGCCTTAACCCATTAGCAATTTATCTCCACTAGGTGGTAGTATTTACTCTTACATTAATGACTCTTGAGCTCCTGAAGGTTTATCCTCATCCTGGAGGAAATAGTTTTCACGTTATATTGCAAAATGACACAGTATATCACTGTCACTGATTGAGTTTACTTATTTTACAAGTAAGTAAAAAAATATTCCAGACATAACCACCTTGAGGTTGCACTGATGTAGGCTACTTGATGAGACTAAAGTTGTAATTGTGAATGCAGAAATCAAGGATTTGGTCCAATGAAAAGTGATAGGCATTATTGTTGTCATGTGATCCATGAGGGAACAAACTATCTTTGGTCATCATCATCATTTTCATATGTTCAATGGCACTTGGAGGGTCATGAAGGGATCCAGCTTTTTGTCAGAATTGACTTTTCGTATCAGGTTTAGGAGAACTTACGCAGCAGGTTAGGAGAATTAGGTTAAGATTAGGGAAAGGGTTAGCTAAAATGCACACAAAAAATAGCACTTTGACGTCAGCAAATATGCACAGAAAGACACTTTTAATTATGTGTTTAATATATGGATGATGACCATGATGTGAATGGTTTTGTGACACTTCTATGAATGTATTTTTTTCTTTCCACAAAAAAAAATAAAACAGAAATGGGATATTGTGTTCATATAGCAAGGAGAGCTACTGTATTATGATGTATTTAAAGACGTTCAAAATGAAGAAAATGCAGTGACTAACAAATTAAGAGTTCTATTCAAAATGAAGAAAATGCAATGACAAAAAAAAATTAAGAGTTATTTACTGTGGCCTAAGTATAAAATAAAACATCCCCACAGCTATTGGACTGTTTGAATTAATTGGCTAACCTAGATTACAATGTTTCCATTGATTAGCATAATGCTGAGCCATATATTAAGAACATATAAATATATGACTGGTATAATGTAACTTTATTTCACAAATGTAGGCTATCCATTTGATACATTCCGCACGCATTCACACACAATAAAAGTCTGCCCTTGCAGCTACACTGTATCCAACGGAATTTAGCCTTGTTATATTTAAAACTTTTAACAGCAAAGCAGATAACCAAGAATTGCATGGAACTGTCACATCAATATCTTAGAAATGTTAACATTTTGTTTGGGATGAATAAACTTTAGAAGTCATTTGTGAAATCATCGCCTTCCGTGCACTCATTGAAAAATAAAAGATCTGCCAGTTGAGCACAGCCATTTGAACAAGAAAAAGGTTGGCTGTCTTCACTTCCAGTTAAGGAACTACTGTCTAACATGAACTAATATTTCACAATTATATATTAATTATTTAGCTAGCTAACAAAATATCTTATAGCAAAATATTTCGTTTTGTGGTAAATGTGGCCAGTCTCTGACCCCAAAATGTATTTTTCTAGTAGTAAACCGTTAGCAAGCCTACCTGACATTAGCTAGCTAAGTTAGCTAGCTAGCTTTTTGCCAGCTAGCTAACTCTTAGCTAGCTGTTGTTGTACCAAAATTTCAATTTGCTCACTGACATTATCTGGAGAAAAAAATTGCCAAAAGCCCTTGCCTGCTAGTTTACTAACTGTCAATAAAGTGTTGTTGTCATTTAACATTAATGTTACCAATTTGTTGTCAGAATGGAGAGAAAGAGGATTCAACTTCAAGCTGTTGGTTCCTCCAAGAGTCAACCCACTCCCAGGCATAGTATGTGAGCGGAGTTCAGCTGTTGGAAATCCCGCTCATTGACCTGCTCCTACTGCTGTCCTTTCCTACCGCTTTGCTAATAACCGCTCTGCTAATAACCGCTCCACACACACAGGAAAAAAAACTCCTGCTCCAAATGCGCTCCATTCATTAAAATCACAATTTAACCAACACCCATCTATTTTTGTGACTACCTGGACCTACCAATTGGTTTTAAGGTATTGAAACCCAGTGTTGCCAACTCCTCAGTAAGGAAAGTAGCTATTGGCTGTCCTAAAATATATATATATATATATATATATATATATATATATATATATATATATATATATTAGTTAAATTTTCTTAAGTTTGGTTTGGTTTTTAACCTTATGGTCTACTTAGGAGCCTACAACAAGTCACAGTAAAACCTGAACATTTTTAACCATAACATTTAAAACATTTTTTTGTATACAATCTACATTAACAATCTAAATGGTCCAAAAAGAGACAATAGAAAAAACTGTCAATGGCAATGTGAGAAAATGATGGTAACTAGTCTGGCCCTAATTCAGGTTAATTGTTTGTTTTTTTCAGACTCCCCTCCACACACAGGCTGTGCTGGCTCACAGAAAGAGTGTGTCATCGTCATTTTGGTCAAGGCTCTCTATGGCAGGTTCAGCAACTGAGGGAGCTGAATTAAATGAGTAAGCAGCTGATGTGCCAAAAAGCTGCAAAACATTATCAGGCAGCTGGTGCTCATAGCAAGCCTCACTAGACATCTTCAGTCCATATCGAATGTAC